TAATCCCAGCACTTTGGGAGGCCGAGGTGAGTGGATTGCCTGAGCCTGTGGGTTGTAGACTCACTCAGGCAACTTGGCAAGACCTCTTCTCTACAATAAATCAAAAATTAGCCGGGCATGGTAGCACGCGCCTGTACTTCTGGCTACTTAGAAGGCTGAGACAGAAGGATCGCCAGAGCCCAGCAGATCGAGGCTGCGGTGGCCAGGAGCGTTTCACTGTACTCCAGTCTGGGTGACAGAGTGAGACTCCAACTCAAAAAAAAAAAAAAGAATGGGAATATAACATGACATTCTGGCTACGAAGGACTGAGAGAACATGGTGCAGGGAACTTGATGACATGACTTAGCCTGGGACTAGAAGTTGGAATGTCTGGATTAATGGATAAGTGACTTGTCAGTTTCCCTGTCATTTCCATTTGCAGATGTTTTACTTGAGCTTTTTGGCTGAACTTAGGCCACAGTCAAGTCACAAGTGATTTTCTGTGATATGTCCACTCTGTGATAATCTTATGTCTCTCCAAATCCCTCCTTTCCAACCTCTCCACTCATTGCCACCCAAAGTTTAAGTTTTTTTTTTTTTTTTGAGTCAGAATCTTACTCTGTCTCCCAGGTTGGAGTGCAGTGTCATCCTCACGGCTACCACAGCCTCGACTTGCAGGGCTCAGGCGATCCTTCCACCTCAGCCTTCCAAATAGCTGGAACTACAGGCATGTGCTACCACATCCAGCTAATTTTTTTATTTTCTGTAAAGATGAGGGCTTGCTAAGTTGCCCAGGCTGTGCTAGAACCCCTGGACTCAGGCAATTCTCTTGCCACCACCTCCCAAAGTGTTGGGATTACAGGCCTGAGCCACCACACCCAGCCTCAAGCCATTTTAAATACTGTTCAGAATATGCCCTGCTCTCCCACACTTCTAGGCAGTTGCACATGCTGTATCCTTCAAGGATTAGCTCAAATCCCATCTCTACCTGGAAGCTTCCCCTGAATCCCTCTCTCTCTCTAACACTCCCACCCACTGTGGATAAGACACCCCTCCTCTGTTCTCCCATAGAACTCTGTACATACTTGCCTTTTTAGCATGATGGCTTGTTTGTTTTTAATAGAGATGTACTGCACAAGTAAGGATTAACTACACAACTAGGCTGCATGCAGGTAAAGTTTAGGCCTCCAAATGGCCCTCACTTCCCCTGGTTTAGGACCAGGCACCTTTGTGTTGTTACATGCCTCCCCCTTCTTCCCCTGGCAGTGCCCAGCAACTGCCACTCCCTCCCTTGTGCTAATGTGACTAGTGTTCAGGGCCCACTTATGCGTGAGAAAATGCAGTATTCAGCGCTTTTTTTCTGTGATAGTTCACTTAGTATAATGATCTCCAACTCCATCCAATTTGCTGCAAAGTCCATGATTTTGTTCTTCTTTATGGCTGTGTAATACTCCATCATGTATATGTATCACATTTCTTTATCCATTCCACTTTCAATGGGCAGTAGGGTTCCATGTTTTTGCTATTGTGAACAATGTTGCTATGAACATGCATGTGTAGGTATCTATTTGTAGAATGATTTATGTTTCTCTGGGTATATTCCTAGGAGAGGGATTGCTGGATCATGTGGAAGGTCAATTTTTAGTTCTTTTAGGCATCATCACCCTGCTTTCCATAAATATTGAACTGGTTTGCCTTCCCACCAACAGTGTAGAAGTGTTCCCCGTTCTCTGCACCTGTGCCAGCACCTGTTGTTCTTTGATTTATTAATAATGGTCATCCTTACTGGAGTTAGGTGGTATTTCATTGTGGTTTTGATTTGCAGTTCTCTGATGATTAGTGAGGGTGAACAATTTTTCATGCATCTGTTGGCTGCCTGTATTTCTTCTTTTGAAAAGTGTCTAGGCCAGGCTTGGTGGCTCAGCCTGTAATCTCAGCACTTTGGGAGGCTGAGGCAAGTTGATTGCCTGAGCCCACGGGTTCAAGACCAACCCGGGCAACTTGGCAGTAAAATTTAAAAAAAAAATCACCTGGCGTGGTGGCACGCACCTGTAGTTCCAGCTACTTGGAAGGCTGAGGCGGAAGGATCACCGGGGGCCCAGCAGGTCGACACTGGCATGGTCATGAGTGTGTCACTGCACTCCAGCCTGGGCAACGGAGTGAGACTCCAACTCAAAAAAAAAAAAAAAGTGTCTATTCATGTTTGTGCCTGCTTTTTAATAGAGTTGTTTGGTTATTTTCCCTGTCAGCTCATTTGAGTTCTGCAGATACTGTTGATGTTAGGCCTTTGTCAGGTACATAGTTAGCAAATATTTTTTCCCATTCTGTGGGTTGTCTCTTTACTCTCTTGATTTCTTTTGCTGTGCAAAAGCTTTTCAGTTTGATGAGGTCCCACTTATCTATCTTAGCTTTTATGGTATTCACTTTTGGGGATTTGGTCAGGAAGTTGTTGCCTACTCTGATGTGCATAAGTGTGTTTCCTACTTTTTCTTCTAGGATTCTTATAGTTTGAAGTTTTACGTTTAGGTCTTTGATCTAGTTAGAGTTCATTTTTGTATATGGTGATAGGTAGGGGTCCAGTTTCATTCTTCTGCATGTGGTCAGTTAGTTTTCCCAGCACCATTTGCTAAGTATAGTCTCCTTTCCTCAGCAGTTGTTAGTGATGGCTTTCTTAGGATGCGTTGATTGAAAGGTCGAGTTTTTCTTCCAGAATTTCTGTCCTGTTCCATTGGTCAATGTGCCTACTCTTGTACCAGTATCAGGCTGTTTCAGTTACTATGGCCTTGTAGTAAATTTTAAAGTCTGGACATGTGAAACCTCCTGTTTTGTTCCTTTTGCTGAGGATTGTTTAGGCTATTCGCGCTTGCAGAAAAGGGAAAAAATAGCCTGGCCTAGCAAGTCAGGGAAGTCTTCCAGAGGCAGCAATTTATGGAGTGAACCTTAAAATATGAAAAAATTTTGCCAAACTAATAAATAAACTAGGCAGAGGGAAAAACACGTACAAAGACATGAATGAGAATCAATGTTCGGAGAATTGCAAGAAGTATGGATATTCTGTGCCATCATTTGGAATGAAAAATATGTTTTAAATGCCAAATGTAAGAGAGGCAAGGTTGTTCTTTGTTGTGGATGTTTTAAGTCTTTATCATTCTGACAGTTTTGTCTTTAATCGTCAGATGGATTTTATCACAAGTCAGTAAAGATGTTATAGTCACCTTTGGTGAAATAAATAACTTCTTTATAGCTTGTGGCCTGCCTCCTCCCAAAAATGGTTTGATTTGACTAATAATAAAAGACACATCCACAGCAAGCCAGCTTGTATAGAAACAGAAAACAATAGCAATAGATAGGAAGAGAATGACACTATCTCCCAGTGCTCGTTTCCTTCCTTAGCTCATGTGGGGTTCAGGATCGCCCTCTGAGGGTGAGAAGCAGGTTGTCCAGCTTCAAGCCCGGCACATGGAAGTGCTCCTGGAAGTGCATGTGGGTCCAATAAATACCTAGTGTTTTCCTCATTTTCCAATTGATGCCACAGGTATTTCCTGACACTCTCATTCCTTCAGGTTTCCATCCCTCATGTTTTTTGGTAGGAATAATAATCTTTCTTGGCTATCCTTCAGATCCACTGCTGGAGCTCCTTCACCCAAACTTCTTTCAGAGTCTCTTGCTTTTTTAGTTTTTATCCTTTTAAAACAAATTACTCCATGCATAAAACTTAGAAAACTGAAAGGTACAAAAAAGAGTGCCCCATGATACTATAACCAAAGGACACTGAGTCAAATCTTTTTCATTTAACATTTTTTGACATAATTTCACACTTCCAGAAGATTTCAAGAATAGAACAAAGAATTCCTGAATTCCTTTCACCGGGGTTCCCCTACTATTGACATTTTACTACATTTGTTTTATCTCTTTCTCTCTCTTTTCTCTCTCTCTCTCTGTCTCTCTGTCTCTCTCTCTCTCTCTCTCTCTATATATATATATATATATATATATATATATATATCCATTTAAGAATAAGTTGTAGACATCATGAACTCCTATGTAAGTCTAAATGCTTCAAATACTAAATATTTTGTGTATTTGCAAAAGCAAGAAATTCTCCTACATGAATATTGATTTTTCTGTATGCCCTTCTAGATTTTTTCTATGTGCATTTTATTTATATTTAAATAAAATAATACAATGTTTATTTATAATGACTTGCTTTTTAGTGGGGGTTAGCAATGAAGATTGTGTGTAATCTCTTACCAATAAATATTCTACAACATAATTCTCCATCAGGATTTGACTGTAGATGGGTTTCTGGGTAGCACAAAACTTTTAAGAGACCACTGTGCTTCAGAGAACTAACTGTGCTCTTGCATGTCTAGTCTGAGATCAGTTGAAAAGCTCCAAATAAGCCGGGCTCGGTGGCTCAGCCTATAATCCCAGTGCTTTGGGAGGCTGAGGTGAGTGGATTGCCTGAGCCCGCAGGTTCGAGACCCACCTGGGCAACTTGGCGAGACCTCATCTCTACATAAAATAAAAAATTAGCCGGTCGTGGTAGTGCGCACCTGTAGTTCCAGCTACTTGGAAGGCTGAGGTGGAAGGATCGCCGGAGCCCAGCAGGTCGAGGCTGCGGTAGCCAGGAGCGGCCACTGCACTCCAGTCTGGGCGACAGAGTGAGACTCCAACTCAAAAAAAAAAAAAAAAAAAAAGAAAAGCTCCGAATAAATTAGGAAAGAGGCACGGGGGGGGGGGGGTGTGGAGAGCTCTGAATACAAATTTAGTCTTTATTCTGCTGCTAGTTGAGATTCAATGGAAAAGTTACAGCAGGAGAGTAAGCCAATAAGAGCTGTGCTTTCTAGAGATTAATTTGACAGTGTGTGCAGGATGGAGTAAAGGAAGAAGAAATCAGAGCATGAGTCATAATAAGTCACTTGGGTAAAATGATCCCTAGTTTTAAGGGCAAATCTCTGCCCAGGAAGAGCAGAGCCTTCTCCAGCATAATGAGTCCTTTTTCTCACATGTCTTTCAGAACTGGTTAAAGTCATATGGCTATCTGCTTCCCTATGATTCACGGGCATCTGCATTGCACTCAGGAAAGGCCTTACAGTCTGCAGTTTCCACTATGCAGCAGTTTTACGGGATTCCTGTCACCGGTGTGTTGGATCAGACAACCATCGAGTAAGATTTGCATAGGACATTGTACCTTTGAACTTCCTGGACATACGTTTGGGTTCACATTTGTCATGGCCTATGTTCACACCATATCCTGCCTTTCTATCTTTTAGCCCTGTGGGGAGGGAATCCTGGGAGAGAATACCCCAAAGTGCCCTTTCCTATGTGAGCTGGAGCTGGACAGGGACAGGAGGCCCAGCCTGCCATGAACTTGCCGTGTGACCCTGGAGACAAGTCGTTTGATCGTCTGGGCCTCAGTTTCCTTACCAGTTCCACAAGGGGCTGGGTTACAGATGGGTTCTTAAATCTCCCCTGGCTCTAGTAACTTACGGTTCTGAGTTGTTACGGAACTCTGTAGTTCCCTGCAAGGTACACGTCTCACTGGATACAGCAATCTCCTGAATGATAAAGGGCTGGTTCCACTTTTTTCATTTACCAAACACTTGCTGGGTGCTTGTGTGTTGTGCCTGTCCTCCTGCCCTTCAGAGGTTCACTGTTTAGTGACAAGTACAGTCATCTGGTCACACCAGTTTAGAGCTCAAAAGGAAATGAGTGTCAGGGAGACACTACAGAGGCAGTAACAAATCAAGCTACGAGGATGGTTGCTATCACTAAGGGAAAGGATAAAGAGGGTGCTGGGGATGGAAGCCCACAAAGCCAGTGGGGGGGGGAGTGGTAGAGAGGAAGAGGAAGCCTGGGGGATGTAGGACCCGCAATGAGGGGTGTGGACAGCAGGGCCTGCTGCCCTGGAGCGGTCTTATGGGAGGTGTCTGTTCTGAAGCCCAAGGGAATGGTGGCGACAGGGTCAGATCGCAGTGGGAAGAAGGGGAGGTGAGGAGTGGAGGGAAAACATTCGAGGAGTTTGTCATGGGGGGAGATGACGGTAGCCAGGGAGGATGGGGTCTTGCTTATTTCTTAAGATAGGAGAGAGCTGAGCAGGCTTCTATTTGTTTCAGAAATAGCTAAAAGATGTCTGAGAAAAGCCATTCATACTATGAAGACATGGAAACATGCTGGAGTGAGTTTCCTAAGGAAGTAGGAAGTGGGGTGGGAGCCTAAGCACCAGTGGAAAGAGCTGTCAGGACTGGGGAGGAGGCAGGGGCATTCGTGAGGGTGGGACAGGAGATGCACCCAGCTGCAGATCAAGGATCAATCCGCCCCTTGTGTAAGTCATGCTTGATATGCTTGACACTCTGGGTCTCAGGGGTTGGATTATGCCTCTCAAATTCTAGATTCTATTACTCTCAGCATCTAAGCTTTTACAACTTGGTGAATCTGGGGTTTTAGGATCCTAAAATTCTGTGTGAACATTTCCTATGCCTGGGAAGCTCTGGTTGTGGGAGTGTGAAATTCTGAGATAATGTGTTCGCTCCTATGATGTCTGAGTACAGTAGACTCCTTGGCCCTGTGGCCCGAAAGTGAGCTGGTTCAGGAGAGGCTATTCTGAGGGCTTTGTGCAGGCCTCCTGGCAGCGCATCCTGAGGCAAGAGTGCTGGTGTCTCTGCTGGGCACCATCTGGCCTTAGGTTTCACTCGGTTCCAGAAAGCCCCAGGCTTGTTGGACAAGTGTTCCGAGAGTGGCAGGTGGACGGTGAGAGGGGGAGGCAGAGGGAGCAATCCCAGGGAAGAGGATGGCATTCTGGCCACACCTCCTCGTAGGAAGGCAGAGGAGGGACGTTCTGGCAGCAGGGGAGGAGGAAGCCAAGTCACACTCAACCCTGGACCAGAGTGGGGGCCAGGTGGGGCGGGATCTAGAGACCTGCGTTTCAGCTCCAGCTCTGTAACCGTGGGTAACAGTTGCCCTTCTCGGGCCTGTTGCCTCCTCAGGAGTCTTCCGGGTCTAACTCAGTCTGGCAGTAGCAGAGGTGACTCTTAGTTCTTTTCCCAGGGACTGTTAATGAAAGGAAGCTAGAGTAGCCGTTTGAAGCACGAGTTCTGAGCGTCTCCCTTGGACTATGCCACACGTTTATCCACTCCCTCATTCATTCAGTCAACACCATACAAGGGGGACCCAAAAACTCCAAGTTTATTTATAAAAATTATGGATTTAGTCTTACATGTTTAAACTTCAGTCACCTTCAAAGTACTCTCTGTTGGACACAATACACTAATTAAGACACTTTTGCCACTGCTCATAGCAGTTTTTGAACTCGTCAATTTTGATGCCTTTTAGTGCCTCTGGTGTATTTGTTCCACCTCTTCCACACTGGCAAGTCATTTTCCTTTAAGGACTTTTTTCATCTGGGGAAACAAAAAGTCACTGGGGTAAGATCAGGTGAACGGGGAGGGTAGGGCATGGGGATCATGCTGGTTTTGGTCAAAAACTGCTGAATTCTCAGCACAGTGTGGGCAGGTTCTTCATGTAAATCACCCGTCATGAAATGGGGAAAAGCGTTGAAAGACTCTCCAAGACAAAATTCGCTGAAGTTGAACACAGCCTCTCACGACACCACTAGCTTTCACACAATGCAAATGGGTTCCTAGGACACCTACAAGGGGCCTGCCCTCCAAAAAAATAATTCTGAGGTTTTTTGGGTCCCCCCCATAGTCCCTCTAGCTCAACAGTTGTGCTGAGCACTGACAGAAAAAATAAAAGCTTGTTACATTGCATTAATTAATATTCATTTATTCATTCAACTAAGTTCCTGTTTTCTATGTTTTGCAAGTTACTGGATGTGTCTATCTTTTTTCTCATCTGTAAAATGGGGATAATAATTTCAGTTTAGCTCCTGGGGTTGTTTTGAGAATCTAAAATTTTAAACGTTTAAAATAATATGAACACTGTAAATCATAGTATAGCAATATGCTTGGTATTGCTATTATGATGTCTTAGATTATTGATGTCTACGTGTGGAACACTCCAGGCAATGAGGAGCATACAAAGATGAGTAAGATCCAGTCGATGTCTCTTTTCTCCATATTGCCAATGGCTACTGCCTTTTTTTTTTTTAATCAGAGTCTCACTCTGTCGCCCAGGCTGGAGTGCAGAGGCATGCTCATGGCCACTGCAGCCTCGACCTGTTGGGCTCAGGCGATCCTTCTGCCTCAGCCTTCCAAGTAGCTGGAACTACAAGCACACGCCACCATGCCCAGCTATTTTTTTTTTTTTTTTTGTAGAGATAAGGTCTATTATCCCCATTTTACAGCCAAGTTGCCCGGGCTGGTCTCAAACCCATGGGCTTAGGCAATCTGCACCTAGGCTGCAACTACAGGCGTGAGCCACCCCGCCTGGTGAACTGCAAATGAGACCAGGTTGTTTTCCCTCCCAGCAATCCCATGCTGTAGTGAGTTGGTCATTAGGCCAGCACATGAAATGCAGGGATAGCCTGGGCCCCGATCATCCTTGATCTTTGAAATTTCCTGCCCTGGCACCTTTTTTATGAACTCCCCAATGATGTCCCAGGTTTACTGTTCCCTAACGTACCTTTACCCCCTAACTAAATTATAAGGATTTACATAGTTCCAGGCACTCGGCTGGCTTCTGAGAACACAATGATGAATACGACATAGTTTCTGTCCTCAAAGAATTTATCTTTTTTTAGAGGCAACAAACTAATAGATTTAAAATCACAGAAATCACAGCCGGGCTTGGTGGCTCAGCCTGTAATCCCGCGCCTTGGGAGGCTGAGGCGAGTGGATTGCCTGAGCCCGCGGGTTCGAGACCCACCTGGGCAGCAAGACCTCATCTCTACAATAAATTGAAAATTAGCCGGGCGTGGTAGCACGTGCCTGTAGTTCCAGCTACTTGGAAGGCTGAGGCGGAAGGATCGCCGGAACCCAGCAGGTCGAGGCTGCGGTGACCGGGAGCGGTCACTGCACCTCAGTCTGGGCGACCGAGTGAGACTCCAACTCGAAACATAAAATAAAATAAAATCACAATACAATGTAAGAAGTGCTGCAGAGAATTACATTCCAAGTCCTGGAGCTCTTTAGCCATTCTTGAACCCCTCTAGTGAGGAAAGGGAATGTGCTGTCTTCCATGCCATGCCATTCCACTGTTGGATAGTTCTGATTCATTTATTCAATCCGTCAGTTATTCAGTAAATCATTATTCAACCTTTCTGCATCAGGTATCATGCCAGCCCTGGGGATACAGGCATGGTTCCTGTTCTCATGGAGGTTAGAATCTAAGGAGAGAGACAAAGAATAAACAAGAAAGCAAATACATAATATAGTTTCAGGAAATCATAAATTAAGCAGGATAAGTCAAGAGTGGTGGGATGGGACGAGGGAGGCCATTTTAGATAGAGTGGACAGGAAAGTCCTCTGGGAAGGCATGGCACTTGAGCAGACGTGCATGAAGTAAGGGAACAAACCACATGAAGAGAAAGAGTGTTGCAAGTACAGGGAACAGCAACTGCCAAGACCCTGGAGTAGGAACAGGCTCAGCATGTTCAGGGACCAACCAGAAGGTCACCATGGCGGGAGCACAGGACATGAGAAGAGAAGGGTGATGATGCTGGACAGGGAGGCAGGGGCTGGGTCGTGCAGGACTTTGTGGGCAAGGATGAAAAGTATGGCTTTTTCTCTGGGGGTTTGGAGAAGTTGTTGGGGGCTTTTAACCAGGGAGTGATATGATCCAATTTCATTTACAGAGCATTTTCCATGTACTTCCTTCTTGGAGACTCGCTCTCACCTAAAGACAGCAAAAACTGTGATTCTCATGTTGCAGATTAGGAAACTGAGGTTCACACCGGTTCAGTCACTTGCCTGGGGTCCTGGAATTAGTGATGGAGCTGGAACTTACCAAGCCTGTGCCTTCCAATTCCCAGTCTTTATATGAGGAAACATGTTTCTTCATACTTGATTATGAATGCATGCATTAATGAATCAATCAATCATTCAGGTTCCTATTGGGGTCCATCAGAGCCAGGGTCCCAGAGTATAGGCTGAGGGTGCACGTTCACATTCAGACTGGAACTGGGGATTATGCAATGCCTTCCTAGAGTGCTCAGTGACGGTGGTGGTGGTGTGTATGTGTGTGTGTGTGTCCTCTCTCTTCCCAGGTGGATGAAGAAACCCCGATGTGGTGTCCCTGACCACCCCCACTTGAGCCGCAGGCGGAGAAACAAGCGCTATGCCCTGACTGGACAGAAATGGAGGCAAAAACACATCACCTACAGGTGCTTTGACTCCCTCTTTTCCTCCCTAGCTTTGGCTCCTTCCTTGGTCAGTTTTTCCTGGCCCGCATGTCAGAGACTCACAATGTAGGTGGGTCTGGGGGTCAGGACAAGGGCCCGGCATGTGGGCATCAGGACCAGGCACTGATGACCTATGACTTTGTCCTCTTTGTGGCTTCTGTAAGATGCTGTGACTCCAACTTCTGGTTTGTTTGGTCCTCTGGGGGCTTAGTAGTTGTGTTTGTTTAAATGACTAAAGTTTTTAGGTTATAGAATGCGGGAGATGGATTGTTCAGGGACTTTCAGCTGTGATGAAGAACCATGGCTTAATTCATCCCCTCATCATTGCTTGCCAACCCCCCCACCCCAATTCAGCTTGATGAACTTCACCTGAGATTCCCAACACAGCATTCCAGTTGTTTCTAAGGCGTATAAAGAACTGGGACCTGAATCACAATAGTGTCATTCCTTGACTCTCTGGGGAGCCCAAGGGCAGAGCAAGATCAGTCTCCAAATCAGACCAGTGGACCAAGAGAGATGGCGGAGTCTACTACAGCAAACTCAGACAGAAGTCGGAGTGGGGCTGGGAAGGACCAGGCACAGGGCAGGCTTGCTGGTGAGTGCCTCTCAAGGCTCTGCTGTCATCTCAGGTGGACCCCTGTGCAAGGGCAGGATCTAAGACAGACATCCTTGGAGTTAAACTAAGGACTACTGCTGACAAGCTGTAGAGACTAGAACAGGATTTTTTTCAGAAATCTGGCAAGAGAAGGAAACTTAAGAAGAATCTGGGTTAGAAACGGAATAGACTCTTGGGAATCTCCTGAAGACGTAGAGTGGATCAAGAGAAAGAAGAACCAGGTGCTAACTCAACTCTGACCTTTACTTCTATGACCCAACCTCTCTAGGACTCAGTTTCCTTCCTTATGGAATAGGTAGAATAATCCATGCCCCAGGTGATCATGGGACATAGCACCTGTAATTAGTAATGCTCCCTTGTGGAGAACCATGCGGTACAGAAATAGTAACCTTGAATAGCTAATGTGTAATGGATGAAATCAGATACCAGCCTGTCCCAGCTTGTAGACAGACATGCAGTCATTGGTGCCAAAGGTTTTTTTAAAAGGACTTTTCGCTTAAACTCTCCCATGTCTGAATATTTTTATAACTTCTATAAATGTGGTGTGTTTTTTTGTATTAGGAGAAAAACAAAATTTAGAAAAAGCTATCTTCCAACTTATTTTTTCTACAAATTGGAGTGGAGTCTTTTATTCAAGACAAACTTTGTCGGAGGTCAGACATAAAACACTGATTGAAGCAAAGCTGCTCTGATTGAGACAGGGTGGGAATCCAGAGCTCTGCTTACTCAGCCTCTTCTTCGACGCCTGGGGCTACTCAGCAGAATTCTAGGGTTCCCAATGTGAAGATAACTGGGCCATGCTGTCTTGGATGTTCCTTTTAGTTCTGCTAGTCTCTGACTCTCTGTTCCTTTCTAATGATCCTTTCCTCTCTCATCAGCATCCACAACTATACCCCAAAGGTGGGTGAACTGGACACACGGAAAGCTATTCGCCAGGCTTTCGATGTGTGGCAGAAGGTGACCCCACTGACCTTTGAAGAAGTGCCCTACCATGAGATCAAAAGTGACCGGAAGGAGGCAGACATCATGATCTTCTTTGCTTCTGGTTTCCATGGTGACAGCTCTCCATTTGATGGGGAAGGGGGATTCCTGGCCCATGCCTACTTCCCTGGCCCAGGGATTGGAGGAGACACTCACTTTGACTCGGACGAGCCATGGACGCTAGGAAATGCCAACCATGATGGTAAGGCCATGAGGGGACAGGGGTCCATCCTGGGTTGCTCGGTTGCTGGGAAAGAAGCCCTGAGGGAGAGCTTGAAGAACACCATAGATGAGTCTCCTGATTTCTAGAGCCCCTTGTCTAAGACCTAAGAACTTTAAAAGGTGGGAACTGTGGTCTCTCATCATATTCAGCACTTGATCTACCAAGGCCAGGTTCACAGAGCTGGGTCAGCTTACTTAGGAGATGGTTTAACTGGGCGGAGGCAGGAAGCAGCTAAGGTGAGGCCATGAACAAGAAGATAATAGATCAGAGGCTGTAGAAAAAGGTAAAAGACCTTAAGGCTGAAAGTGGTGCTCTCTGGCCTGAGTGACAGGGGCCTCAAGACTGTCTCACAAAGGACATGACTGGCTCCCCCTTATTGTGCCGACCTTCCTTTGTCAACCTGTGGGTACTGGGCCCTATAATGACTCCAGCATCCTTAGGTGACTTGCCCCGCTCCACAATGACTCAGTGAGTATCTATGGAGCCAGAGTATCTGTGACTCAGTGAGTATCTATCACAGCAATAGTAGAAACACCCTTCAGATTACCAGAGAGTTCTCATCGGTATTTGCTCACAAGGCACTTGCCTAGCATATAGGCAAGTGTATGTTACTATGCCCATTTTCAGGAGGAAGAGTGCAGGGCTTAAGTGGCATAGCTGGAAGGCAGTTTTAGAGACTTACAAACCCTCATTCAATTAGCTGCCTATGTGACTGGGCAAGTAATTCACCTTAGGTGTACCCTGCTACAGAGCACAGGGCTGGATTAGGTGACCTGTAAGGCCCCTTCCGACTCCAGGATAACATCAGGCATGGTCCTGGGAAGACCACAGAAACAACCATAAAGGAAAAGAGGTGTGGTCCCTGTCCTCAGCAGAAGCAGGTATGCACGTAAAGAACTCCGTCACGGGGTAGATTCTACCGAGGGTTGTAGCAGAAGAACTAAGGAAATGCAGTGGGAGTCTGGGGGGAAGAAGGGTAGAGGATTCTGGCCTTTAGATGACAATAGATGACAGTGAGCGGGTAGGCTAATGTTCTAAGGTCCTGCCAAGTGCTTTCCATACACCATGGAAAATGTGTTTTTTAATATTTATATATATAAAATATATATAATGATAATTAAATAATTAAATTTAATTTTATGTTAAGTAATATGTGATTAAATTATATGGCAAATGTGTAATGACATTATTAAAGTATTATTATAGGTAGAAATCATCCTCATTTTACAGATGGGTAAACCGAGGTATAGAGAAACAGTCAGTAAACTACCTAAGGTCCCATAGTTGATGAGCAGTGAAGTAAGGCTTTGAACCTGGGCATTATGACATTGGGGCCCATAGTCTTAGCCATCATGCTAAGCTTCTATGGTTTTCAAACTACAAGGCACACCAGAATCACTAGAAACCCATTTTAAGAATGCAGATTCCCGGCTCCAGGCCCCTAACCTCTTGTTATTCTAGTTCTCTGGGTCTGGGGTTGACCCTGGAAACCTGCAATTGGTCTAATAAGTTCCCCAAGGGCTTCTGATGCAGGTGTTCCATCACCTTGAGAAATACTATCTTCACTTTCCCTAACTTACCTGATCATTAAGAACCAACTAGTAGCTGGGCATGGTGGCTCACACCTATAATCCCAGCAGTTTGGGAGACAGAAGCAGGAGAATTGCCTGAGGCCAGGAATTCGAGACCACCCTGGACAATACAGCAAGACCCCTTTTCTACGGAAAAAAAAAAAAAAAAATTAGCCAAGTGTCGTAGTGCATGCCTATAATCCCAGCAACTCAGGAGGCTGAGATGGGAGAATCTCTTGAGCCCAGTATGGGAAACATAGCAAGACCTCCTCTCTACAAAAAAACAAAAAAATCATTTTAGAAAAAATTAGCTGGGTATAGTGGCGCATGCCTGTAGTCCCAGTAACTTGGAGAGGCTGAAGCAGAAGGATTGCTTGAGCCCAGAAGGTCAAGGCTACAGCAAGCTGTGATCATGCCACCTACACTCCAGCCTGGATGACAGAGTGAGACCTCGACTCAAAAATAAACAAAAATAAATAAAAATTTTAAAAGGTTGGTTCTAACAGATAAAGACTTGTTTTAACATACCCAAAATAAGACATCAACAACAACAAAAACATAACCTTGGTTTGACCAAGCCTCAGCCAGCAGACTTATCAAGTTATGAACCTGTTAAATTTCTCTTTCAGATTTTTGTCCCTTTAGTATCAAGCTCCATTTCCTTTGCCCTGGAATCTCTCCCCGTATGTCCTGAATGTTTCCCGGCTCTCTAAGTAACTATTCTTTATCTCATTCTTATTTTTGGGTCAGTGTCAACAAATGGCTGTCTGTACTAACTGATAAGATGTGAGGAGAAGAGAACTAACATTTTTGAGGTCCTGTATGGTGCCAGGCACTGTTAACTGATAAGGTTTTAATTGTATCCCAGATAGAGACAAATGAGTCTTCAAAGAATTGTCCAGAGGCGGCCTGGGAGGCTGCTCCTCACCCTCTGCCTCCCCTGCTGCCCAGCACTGGGGGTATGCGTTCCCCGTGCTCCCTCCTTGCTGTGGGAGAACTCATTGGACCCAGCCCCCAAATTCCCAGAAATGGCGGTATGTGTGGGAAGGACCTGGGACCTGCAGCAGGCACCATGCCAGATCCCTCCCGTGTGTCCCAGCCCACCTTTGATGAATGACTGCCAATTCTGATAGAAATTCCAAGATAACTGATGTCTTCTTTGGATAAAAGTCAGGACTCTGCTCTGCCCTGGAAAATACAACATGAACTGTCCAGACGTGGTTTATAACTGCAGCAACAGACCCCTGGCTGGTGACCTGGAATGCATCGAGTTGCCCCAAAGACAGGTTTCGGAATAAGAGGAAAGAAAACAAGGTTTATTGAGCATCTATGCATTATCTCATTTAATTTCCACATAGACTTAGTGAGGGAGGGAGTGGAGTTTCCTAAGGACTTTTTGACTGTTGGATTTATTTATTTAAACTTTAAAACAACAACAAAAAAAACATAACCTTGGTTTGGCCAAGCCTCAGCCAGCAGGCTTATCAAGTTATGAACCTGTTAAATTTCTCTTTCAGACTTTTGTCCCTTTAGTATCAAGCTCCATTTCCTTTGCCCTGGAATCTCTCCCCGTATGTCCTGAATGTTTCCTGGCTCTAAAATTTTTAAACTGGAAAATTTTAAACTACCAAAAGTAGAAAGAATTGTACGATCCCCAGATACTCATCACCTGCTTCAGCATTTAGTATGTACTTCTAACAGATAAAGCTTATTTTTAACATATCCACAAAAACATTCTCAAACCCAACAAAATTAACAATAATTTCTTAAAATCTAATAATACCCAGTTTGTGTTACTTTCCCAAACTACCTCAAAAATGTCTTTTTCAGTTGTTTGTTTGAATCAGGATCCAAACAAAATCCACACATCACACATGGCTGTCATGTCTCTCAAAGTTCTTTTAAGTTAAAGTGTCCCCTCCCTGCCCACCCCCCATGTCTCCCTCCATTTATTTGTTGAAGAAACTGGGTCATGTGTCCCAAGTAGAGTCATTTGGCCTGACCAGATTCAGGTTCATCTTGAACACATGTCTCTTCCCCATAATTGCTGAATATGGTAAGAACAACAGGCCTGACTAGATTCAGGTTCACTCTTTGACAAGGATGCTTCTCTAGGTGGTGCAGGGACTTCCCATTTTGCCACATCAGCTGGCACCTATGATAGAAGTTGTCCCACTCTTAGTGATGTTAAGATCGTGTTAGCCTGACCAACCGTTACACAATTCACCTGGGGAACATAAAAAATAAAAATAAAGAGGTTGCCTGCGTCCCAAGCCAGTCCTCCTGAATCAGCATCTTCCCCCACCCCAGCCTCCATGTGTTTAGAACATTCTCCTGAGGAACCACTGGATCCTAAAGGTGGTCTGCTTCCCCACCCAGCTGGCGTCTGTTTGAAGGCAAGCTAACTAGCTCCCACACCTTTCAGGCATCCTCTGTTCTCATTTCTTTCAACTGAGTCAAGCAGTGAAGTCAGCAGATAGTCACTAAGTGCCACTGGGAAAGGTGCCCAGCCCTGTGCTGCTTCTACCTAGGGAGGGTGGCAAGACAGCAAGAGTTGTCCTGACCACACCCTTCTTCACAGAGAGCCCTTCACACTTCTTCACACTAGCCCTCCCCCATCCTGGGCTGTAGACCAGCAGGGATTATAATCCCCATTTTACAGATGAGAAAAGTGAATTTCTTGAGCTGGGCACAGTGGTGTGTGCCTGTAGTCCCAGCTACTTGGGAGATTGAGGCGGGAGGATTGTTATGACCAGGAGTTTGAGCCCAGCCTGAGCAACATAGTGAGACCCTATCTCTTGTAAATACATACATACATACATACATAAACAAATAGAAATTCACAGTTGGAAAGTGGCAGAGCCAGATGTGACCCCAGGATTGTGCATTTTTAACAGTCACCACAAATGGTTCTGCTGCAGGTGGTCCAAGGACCACCCTTGGAAGAATACTATGCTTTTGGCACTGTTCCATTCTGGATGCTGTCACCTCGCCCTGTAAGCCCAAAACTTGCTCTCAAGGCCCTCATAATCCTGGGACCGTGAGAGTGTGCACTAGTGCCAATAGCATAAGGTGGAAGGCGGTCAGTGCCATGAAGACCGTTCAGAGAAGTTGTCAGGAGAGTGCAGAGGAGGGAGCTCTCCTGCCAGCTGGGGAAATCAAGGAAGGCTTCCTGGAACATTGGCATTGAGCTGAACTTTGAAGGAAGAGATATCCCAGGTAGAAGGAACAGCACTGGCAAAAGAACAGAGGCAAAAGGAAAAGCTACCACCTTTTGAGGACATGGGGAGCCGGTGAGATAGGAGTCACCAAATACAAAGGTCCTAAGGGAAGGAAATGAAGCAGAGACAGGCCACTTGGGCAGCCAAGCAGACGGCTGGGGACTGGCTAGAAGGCTCAGGGACTTCAGAACACTCCCTAGCAGGAATGCTGGTCCTCATACGCAGCTCAGCATGACTCCTCTAATGGAGAACAATGCTTCTGTGCCCGGACCCAATGAGCATGTTACCACCTTGTTACATATCTTCACCTCCATTCTTATGATGAAGGTGCCATTGTTTCCTTCATCTTCCAGAGGAAGAGATCTAAAAGGTCACCTTGCTAAGGGCATGGTAGAGTCAGGATGCAAAACCGGACAGTCTAGCTCCCCAAGACTACACTCCTAACCACGCCAGTTCCCTGCCCTCACCCTCTTGGGGAGTAAAGACCTGTCAGTCTCCTGCCCGTGAAGAACAGAGTCTCTGTAGCAGGCCTCTCCTTCTCATTCCTCTCCTTTCCCCTCACAAGCTCAGGGAGTCCTCCTGCCTCAGCCCCGTCTCTCACCCCTCTCCTTCTGTCTCCTCCCTAAAGGCCTCCTGGCTTTCTGTGCAGTAGATCCCTGTGCCCCTTCCTCCCTCTTTCTTCCTTTTGATCCCTGAACCCAACACACAGACTTTTTTTTTTTTTTAAGTTGGAGTCTCATTCTGTTGCCCAGGCTGAAGTGCAGAGGCAAAATCATGGCTCACCACAGCCTCGAACTCCTGGGCAGAGGCAGTCTTCCTGCCTCAGTCTCCCGGGTAGCTGGGACTCCAGGCACATGCCACCATGCCCGGTTAAGTTTTTGGTTTACTGTAGAGACTATTTTGCCCAGGCTGGTCTCAAACACCTGGGCTCAGGCAAGCCTTTCCCCTCGTCTCCCAAAGTGCTAGGATTACAGGCATGAACCACTGCACCCGGCCAGGCCTCTTCCTCTTTGTTTTTGCTTTTTTTTTGAGTCGGAGTCTCACTCTGTCGCCCAGACTGGAGTGCCGCTCCTGGCCACCGCAGCCTCGACCCGCTGGGCTCCGGCGATCCTTCCGCCTCAGCCTTCCAGGGAGCCGGAATTACAGGCGCGCGCTACCACACCCGGCTGATTTTTTTATTTATTGTAGAGATGAGGTCTTGCCAAGTTGCCCAGGTGAGTCTCGAACCCGCGGACTCAGGTAATCCACTCATCTCAGCCTCCCAAAGTGCTGGGATTACAGGCTGAGCCACCGAGCCCTGTAACCTCTTAAGTGGTTACTCCTGTTCTCTATAGACATGGGCTGCAGACAAAGGCCTGGAGTCTCTCCAGGTGCCCAGAATCCTGCTCCCTGGTTCCTAGCTGAGATCCCTGTGATGGCCCCTGAGGAAGAGCCTGGTCAGGAGGTAGAGGCCCTGAACAGCTTGTCCCGGGTCACGGAACAGGCCAGGAACAGAGCCAGGACTGGACCCCAGGAAGCAGAGCTGCCTTCCGCTGGCCGTAGCAGCGCCTTTGTTTGGGACAGAGCTCGGAGATGAGCTCACCCTTCCCTGCTGCCAGCAGGGCCAGGGCCTGAGGAAGGAGCGGGGGGCGGCCTGGCCCTCTCCTGCCAGCGTGCCCTTCCCCAGCAGAAGGCAGCCCCAGGCTTTTGGCCAACCTTGTGCTGATCTTGCCTGTCCCCCTTCCTTTCTGTTGTCAGAGGCAGCTTCACTGAGGATGCTGGTAGTTTCAGCATGCGCAGGCACACATTGCCTGCAGCTTGGGGGCCCATGGGCTTCTTCGCCCTTCCCAGGACCTCAGCCAAGAAGGCCAAACAACCCACCTTTGTGTAGCCCTCATGGGGCCCGGGGCTGAGCTGGGATAGGGCAACTTTGCTGGTGTCACTGGGTCCAGAGTGGGCAGAAGAACTCCTGTCCACATCTAAGCAGCCTCTCTGGACTTAAGAGGTGGCAGGGATGGCTGGGAGGTAAGAAGGAGGTCTCAGGAACTACAAATGCAGGGTCCGCACCTGGGCAGACAGCAGTCAGGACTGTCAACCCACAGCCCACCCAACTCCTCAACCCTTACATTTCTTTCCCAAAGCCAGGGTTACTTAATCTACCCAAATCCAGGCCTTGCCCTATCCCAGGCCTAATGCAGACTCACGGGAGCTAGCTTTAAGAGGATCTGTCTCTGGCGCCCCACCGGCCTTGTGCGTCCCGCCTGGTCAGGGCGCCTCTTCCTGTCACCAGGCCCCTGTCTTATGTAGGATGATGATGGCAGCCAGCGTTCAGTGCCACACCATGCACTTTCCATATGTCTTACTCAGTCCTCACACCACCCTGTGAGGTAGATATGAGTCCCCCATTTTACAAATGAGGGCACTGAGTCTCAGGGTAGGGCCACATTTGCAAAGCTGGTAGGGCTGGTAGTGAAGGTAGTCTGTCCCGCAGGGCCTGTGCTTGTAACCACCATGCCAGGGGTGCTGTGTCCCGGGCCCCACGTGCCGCTCTCAGCACTGGAGCCACGTTTTCACCTGCACTTGAACCCTGGCCTTGGTCTTGGCCAATAGTTCCATTCTTCCAGACCTGAGGGCTTGCTGATGGAACTGCCTATGCTCAGAGGCCTGCCTGTAGCAAGCCATGTCTGCGGCCTTAAGACAGTCCCTCTCTGTCCCCACTGCTTCCACTTGGCCTAAGGCCCTGCTCTTCTCTCACCTGGACCCCAGCAGTGACTCCCAAACTGACCCCACTGACCTCCCTGCCTCGGGTCTTGTTCCCTCTAACCCTCCCTCCAACGGCAGTCCAAATGATTTCATTGTTTCCTTACCCCACTCCTGCTGAACCCCGCTGGCCAAGAAGCCGACCCACATCCCTGCGTTTGGCCTGCCGCGCCCTGCCCGCCAGCCTGGCTGACCTTGGCTCTCTCCAGCCCTCCCTCAAGCCTTGTTCCAGGGACAGGTGGGAAGAAACTGCATGTCCCTGGCCCTCGCTGACAGCATTTCCTCTGCCAGAAACTGCACCCCCGCCCCCGTCTAGCCGAATCCACTTTCCTGACTGCCTCCTGGTCTTTCAGGACGCAAGCTTCACCTTTATGATGTTTTTCCCGAGCACCTTCCTCCAGACTGGAACGGCCCCTCCCTCCTCAGAATCCCCACTCGACTCTCACAGACTCCCTGGAACACCCAGACACGCTGCTTCACTCATGTCCTTCCTCTCTCAGTGTCCCCCTCTCTATGGGGAAGCCTGGGAGCGGGGGTTGTGTCTGATCTCTCCGTGTGTTTCCGGCGCCCAGCACTGGCCTGGCAAGAACCCACGCTCGGTGCCTGCTGAGATCACAGATTGGCTGTCTGACTGGGCATCTCCCCACGCCCTCTCCACAGGGAACGACCTCTTCCTGGTGGCTGTGCACGAGCTGGGCCACGCACTGGGACTAGAGCACTCCAACGACCCCAGCGCCATCATGGCTCCCTTCTACCAGTATATGGAGACACACAACTTCAAGCTACCCCAGGATGACCTCCAGGGCATCCAGAAGATCTATGGTGCGTAGCAGGAAGACGGGGCCACTGCCCCTTCCTCAGGGCGGGCTGTGACTGCCTACCTGTTAGGGGACAGGAATGGGGTAGAGGGGAGAGACATTCCACCATCAGCACTGCTGCTGGGTCTCCAACTAGCAAGACCTTAGGGACTCTGGACGCCTTTGCCCAGCCAGAGGGGCAAGGCTCTCCCTGGTACACTTGGGAAGCCTGGGGAGGCGCTGAGCTGTAACTGGAAGGGAGAAAAGTAAGGGGAGGGCCACCGTGTCCTCTTCTGTGCCCCCTCCCTGTCCCCACCACCATCCTTTCCCTCTTCACTCCCTCCCTCTTTATCAGATGGTGACCAAGCCTTTCATGGCCCTGCCTCTAGCCAGGGGGGTTCACTCATCTGCAGGAGTCATGGCAAAACAATGTGATGAGTATGATAGCCAGAGCTTTGTTCTTAAAAAAAGAAACACTGAGAAGCTACTGCTCCCGGTGGGACATGAAGTCCCCTCCCGTGCCTCTCCCAGGCCAGTCCATACCAGCCTGTGGATTCTAGTTCCGGTAAAAGCAGGTGGGATGGGGAGACCAGCCTCCTTGAGCAAACGCTGGTCAGCACAGCACAGGGCCCTAGGCCCCAGTCCGTGGAGCACAGGAGGGGGCTCCTTCTGGAGGAGATGCCCCAGCCAGAGCCCTCGGGTGGTCAGGACCACCACAGCTGAAGCAGTGGTGGACTGGCTGGGGCAGGGGTGCCAGAAGATGTTCTGGAGGCAGCAGAGACAGGATGTGCTGACAAATCAAATGTGGGGGTAAGGGGAAGAAGGAAGGGCCAAGAGTGACCCCAGGGTTTCTGGCTTTTGTCATTGTCAGGCAACAGGATCCACCAGTCTGCAGCTCAAAAATCTGGGCTGGGATATTGATTTGTAATTTTTTTGTGTGTGTGTGTTGGAGTCTCACTCCATCGCCCAGGCTAGAGTACAGTGGCATGCTCGCAGTCACCCCAGCGTCAACCTGCTGGGCTCCGGCGATCCTTCCACCTCAGCCTTCCAAGTAGCCGGAACTACAGGCGTGCGCTACTGCGCCCGGCTAATTTTTTACTTATTGTAGAGATGAGGTCTCGCCAAGTTCCCCGGGCTGGTCTTGATCCCATGGGCTCGTAATCCACTCGCCTTGGCCTCCCAAAGTGCTGGGATTAGAAGCTGAGGCACCAAGCTCAGCCTGATTTGTGATCTTTTGGTGTCCAATACGGTAACCACTAGCCACATGTGTCTACTGAAATTTAAATTTATATTAATTAAAATTAAAATTTCTGTTACAATTCTTACTGTGTCTCAGTCGCACTAAGAACTAGTCATTCATTTCAAGTGCTCAGTAGACACACGTGCATGTGACTCAAGGCTGCCACTGTAGTGAGCAGTGCAGATATGGGCTACTTCAACCATCACGGGGCGCCCTACTGGACAACTCCAGTACACAAGGCCTTTAAAGCTGTGAACCTAAAGGAGACCACCTGGAGCACCGACTCTCAGCTTGGCTGCTCTCTGGAACCACCATGGGATTCCAATAAAAAATACTGATACCCAGCCCTCACCCTGAGATGTGGTGTGTCAGTTGGTCTGGGTGCCTCCTGAGCATCCAGAGTTTAAAAGCTTCCCCGGTAAGCCTAGTATGCAAGCCACATTGAGAAGTTCTGATCTAGGGACAGAAGTGCAGAGTGAGAGGAGAAAGGGACCCAGGGGCACCCCAACCTTTAGTGTAGGGCAAATGAGGAAATGTGGCCAGCAAAGGAGGCTGAGAAGAAACAGCCGCCGAGGTGGGAGGGAAGCCAAGGCCCTGACAAAGAGAAGGTTTCCAGGAAAGCGGTCCCGTGATCTTGCTAGTCCAAGCACGAGCCTCAGACCAGCAGCATCAGCATCACGCAAGGGCTGGAAGAAACTTCAGGCCCAGCCAGACCCTCTGAGCCATAATCTGCACTTAATCAAGATCCCAAGATGATCGGAATGCTCATCAAAGTTTGAGTCAAGTAACCACCGGATTTGGCAACATGGTGGTCATTGGTGATCTTGGCAGAGCAGCAGAGTGAGGCACGGGGCAGAAGCTGCATGGGAATGAGACAAAGGACAGAGGGTGAGAAGGTGGGGCTGGTGGAGAAAGCAGGCTCAGGACACTGCCCCAAAGGAAAGATGTGTGCACTCTGACAAGAGAGGAAAAGATAAGATGCCAGGTTTGGGGTGGGAACACGAGCGCTCCCCTCTGAGGGCTATTTTCATCTACTTCTCAAAGTTTGGGTGAGCTAAGCTGGGGAGGGGGACAGGAGGCTGCACTTGTCTCAGAGTTGCCTGGGCAATGATGAGGCGTGGCAGCGGGAGGTAGGGAATGGCTGGCACCTCTCTAAGATGCAGTCCCTCTCTCCAGGACCCCCAGCGGAGCCTCTGGAGCCCACAAGGCCACTCCCCACACTCCCCGTTCGCAGGATCCACTCACCATCAGAGAGGAAGCACGAGCGCCAGCCCAGGCCCCCTCGGCCACCCCTTGGGGACAGGCCGTCTACACCAGGCGCCAAACCCAACATCTGTGACGGCAACTTCAACACAGTGGCCCTCTTCCGGGGCGAGATGTTTGTGTTTAAGGTAGGGCCAGTTGATTGGTGCCACCCAAGTGGCTCCGGCCTCTTGCCCTCCGTCCCCTCCACCACGGAGCTGGGGGAAGCACCTGCTCTGGGACATGGCTGCAATGGGGCCTGGACAGGAGCTGGCCCAGGGATCACGCATGGGGTCTCTTCCTGGTGCTGCCAGGTGAATCACCTTGCTTCCGAGAGGGAGGAGAGAGATGGGTGGATCCTGCACCTTCCCGGGGATTAACACTGAGGGAAAGTGCTGAAGACGGGCTCCTGTCTGGGACCTTGAGCAAGTCACCTCCCTCTCTCCATCAGTACCCACTAGGGGCTGGAGGTTACTACTGGCCAGGACACACCTTGTCATCTGTCCCGTACCTGTCACTTCAGCCATGGGCTACCTGGGCGGCAACCTCCTTGGGTACTGCAGGTTGGTTCTTGGGAGCAGATTCTGAGACTGTGTGTGGAATGCAGGATTTTGATTAGAGAATACCTTTGGATCTGTGGGAAGAAGGAAGCGAGCCAGGGAAGCGGGAGAGGCTGAGCATCCGCGTAAGCCATTGCAGACTTGGCTGCCCCCACAGGGAGCTCTGAAGCCATAATGACCTGTCAGAGTCACACAGTGTTGGGCCCCAAATGGCTGGGACTTCACATCCCCAACCTCACTCACCATTGGATGAGGAAGAGCATGAACTTGGAGAGGCTCTCTGAAGCTGAGACCATCTCCATAGGGGCTGACGGTTGAAAACTGCCTGCTGGCTGCCCTCTGGATGCCAAGACAACATGCCCTTCCCTGATCTGGGCAGCGGGTCTCTGTCACACCGGATGGTTGAGGAGGACCACCTCACTCCTTTCATGGGGCTCTCCCCAGCAAGCTTCAAGCACTGAGCAAGGAGGACCAGGCAGTGTGGGTCAGCTCCAGCCCGACCTCTCCCTAAGTGGCTCCAGCCAAGTTATTTAGCCTTTCTTAAGACTCTGTGTAGCTAAGATCAACTTTACAGAGTCACGAAAGTCAAAATTAGGTTTGAAAAACAGGGTGTGGCCGGGCTCGATGGCTCAGCCTGTAATCCCGCGCTTTGGGAGGCCGAGGTGAGTGGATTGCCTGAGCCTGCGGGTTCGAAACCAACCTGGGCAACTTGGCGAGACCTCATCTCTACAATAAATTTAAAAAAAAAAATTAGCCGGGCGTGGTAGCGCGCACCTATAGTTCCAGCTACTTAGAAGGCTGAGGCGGGAGGATCACTGGAGCCTAGCAGGTTGAGACTGCGGTGGCCGGGAGCGTGCCACTGCACTCTAGTCTGGGTGACAAAGTGAGACTCCAACTCGAAAAAAAAAAAAAACAACTGAGTGTGAAAGTGCAAAATACCTTTTAAAAGCACTAACTTCTGTACCATCTTTCTTTCACGAATCACGTATTTCTTTTTTTAGAGTTGGGTCTCACTCTGTCATCCAGACTGGAGTGCAGTGGCATGGTCACAGTTCACTGCAACTTCGACCTCCTGGGTTCATGTGATCCTTTGGCCTCAGCCTCCTAAGTAGCTGGGAATACAGGCGTGTGAACCATGCCCCACTAATTTTTTTATTTTTTGTAGAGATCGGGTCTCACTATGTTACCCAGGCTAGTCTTGAACTCCCAGGCCCAAGCAATCCTCCGACCTCAGCCTCCCAATGTCCTGGGATTACGGATGTAAGCCATCATTCCCGGCCCAGTTCCTTCTTCTGCACTCCTTTTTCTTCGACCCAACTGAACTGTTCATAGGCAAGCCTGGGTCTTATCCCCACGTACACATAAGAAAACTGAGGTCCTGGGGGCTACAGGCCTTGCCTATGCTGCTTCTTGGCCCAGGGTTGTGGTAGGGACAAAGCACCAGGCAGAAGAGGCTGTTTTTATTGGATCTTGGTCTATTTAGCAGCCATATATTCAACATGGACTATGTGCCCCATGCTGTTCTGGGCACTGTGCCGAGACTCTCTTGTCTGATCCTCCATTATTACCCACATGGGCAGGTGGGGCCCTAGAAGTGGAGGAACCTGAATTCTCACCCAGATCTTGAGGGAATTCGCACAGCTTACTTCCCTGATCCTCACCCTGATGGATGGAGCCAGCCCCACAAAGGACACTCTGCCCACCCCAGGCTTGTCTGGCTGATGTCAGTGACGCTCCGCTGCCCTCGTGTGGCCACTCCAGGCCTCAGTGCCATCCTTTCCAGCTTCCTCACCCTTCCCCTCCCATGCCAGGCCTGTCTGCTGTCTGTCTCATGGTCTGCCAGGTAGCAAGAGCCGTCAGGAGCTTCAGTGGAGAGAATTACAGTAGCTCCCTGTCTTCCTCACAGAACTTTAAAGGTTAAAGCAGCAAATAGATCGACCCCATGGAAGGTTGCAAGACTGGGATCAGGGGAAGGTGTCAGGTTGTTGAGGCCTAAGCCCCAGGACTGAGATCACCGGTTCTCAGTGTGAGAGAGGCAGGGCGTGATGCGCCTCTTTCTCCCCACTTTCCCCTAGGATCGCTGGTTCTGGCGCCTGCGCAATAACCGGGTGCAAGAAGGCTACCCCATGCAGATTGAGCAGTTCTGGAAAGGCCTGCCCGCCCGCATAGACGCAGCCTACGAAAGAGCCGATGGGAGATTTGTCTTCTTCAAAGGTAAGGGAGCCTGTGCTGTGGGGCCTGAGCAGGTCTCTGCCCTCCTGGGGTTCTCTTTCCCCAGCTACACTGGAGGAGGTGGGTAGGAGGCCGACAGGCTGCGAGGGCCCTTCTAGACCCAGATGAAACGTGACAGGACAGATCCCTGCATGCAGGTCACGCGCGATTTGGGGAAATCAAGTTAGGGAGTGATTATTATGAGTCTGTATGTGCCAAGGTTGGTGGGTGACAAGTTTCAGCCATGTGAAGCCGGGGTGGAACAGGAATTGAAGACCACCCAGTACTTTGTGAAAGGCCATTCTGTCAGTTCTGTAAGAATCCAGAGGGAGGTGTCGCACAGGCTGGGAAGGTCAGAGGAAGGAGAGGGACGGAGCTAACATGCCCACTCTGTGGGTCTGGCACTGTGCTAGAGACTTTAACAGTGATTATCTTGGCTTGAGCCAGGCTCAGGGTGGGTGAGATACAGTTAGTGAGAAGGAAAGCGATCTAGAGGGAGAGGATGTCTTGGGGGGACATCGGGGACTTTCGAAGAGCTTAGCATACCTACCTCACAGCCATGGGGGCCCTGCCTTGGAGAGCCGTGAGAAGTGACCCAGAGAGGCCATCTGGGGGCAAATCCCGATTGTCGGGCTAGAGCTGGAAATTCGGAATGTTCTGAGAAGCAGAGAGTTATGGGGTAGGCAGTAGGACAGCAGGGCGGAGGCAGGGTAGCCACTTCTGGGGTGGTTCTGGAAAGCACCGTCCATGAGGCCCAAGCCAGGGAAGAGCCGTGCAGCTGAAGGGCAGGCGACAGCCGTGAAGAGACTGAGCCTCCCAAGCAGCTGAATATTGAGAGGAGAAGGAAAGAGAAGGTCAGAGATGAGGCTAGGCTTATTGCAGGGGACCCCAGGGGGCAGAAAGGTGCTGAGGAGGGAGCCCCTGAGGTGCAGGTGAGGTGCTCTGGGAAGCCGACTGGGAGCTGTCTGGAGGTCAGGGGGAGCCAGGGAACCTGGGTCTGCTGCCCAAGTCTTGTGGGAGAGCAGGGAGCTGTGTGTCACCAGCAGCGGGTGGGGGTGTCGTGGTGTGTGCAGTCAGGAGAGCGGCTGAAGTCCCCGGAGAGGAGGGAGGAGCGAGTCGCCTGAAGAGGGGACGGCGTGGGGTCCGGGTGGCACGGGGCAAGTTGCCCAGGGCCTGTGCCTGGCTTCTGGCTCCCCGCCCCACCCACCTCTGCCTGGGCCGAGGGGCTGGGGATCCAGCAGGCCTGGGGTTCTCTCTCCCCGACACCCTGAAGATGGGCAAGCGGCACTAGCCACGGGCTCCGGCCCTGAGTGACCAGCGAAGACTGATCCTAGGCTTCTTCCGACCACAGGTGACAAGTACTGGGTGTTTAAGGAGGTGACGGTGGAGCCCGGGTATCCCCACAGCCTGGGGGAGCTGGGCAGCTGTCTACCCCGTGAAGGCATCGACACGGCTCTGCGCTGGGAACCTGTGGGCAAGACTTACTTCTTCAAAGGCGAGCGATACTGGCGCTACAGTGAGGAGCGGCGGGCCACAGACCCTGGCTACCCAAAGCCCATCACCGTGTGGAAGGGCATCCCGCAGGCTCCCCAGGGGGCCTTCATCAGCAAGGAGGGCTGTACGTAAGGGCCGGGCTGGGCAGTGGGGGCGGGGAGCTGGTCTTATGTGGTCCTCATCAGTGCCCACGGACACCGTCTCAGGGCATCCAGGCTTGAGAGACCACCTGGAGCCACACAACTTGATCTGTTCACTCCATAATAATCACTGAGAGCCAGCTTGTGGGGGGCGGGCTGGGGATGTGGCAGTGAACACGACTTGCACAGCTCCCAGGCTAGTGGCAGAAAACAATAAGGTGGCAACCAATGCTACAGGGGAAATAAAGTCGTGAGAGCAGTAGTCAGCAGGGGCCACGTCAGGGTGCTGGGAAGGGCCCTCCAAGGAGCATCACTGGTGAGAAAGTTCACAACCATAAGGGCAGGGCTGTGATTTGCTGGCTGTCTCGTGTACCTGATGCTTTACACACAGTCTCCCTTTGTGGGAAGCCCCAGACACATGTGACATCCAGGACCTCAACCCGTGAAAGTCCCGGCCCGGGTGAGGAGCCAGCCAATGGAGAGTCTATAGGACTCCAGAAAGGTCCCAAAGACCCTGCATCTGGGTTGGGCTGTATGCCAAGACACACACACACAAAAATGCATCATTGCAAAGGTAGTGTCTACTGCCAGCAGCAGGGGAAACCATGCTCCCATCCTCCCTCGGAGCTGGAGCTGGAGCTGGACTGGACGGAGGTGCTAGAGCTGTGGACACAGGGGTGCCCAAGCCTTAGCTGGGGCTTAATGGGACCCACGGGGGGGCCTGTGGGCACAGTGTGACAGAGCTGATCCCAGACTAAGAAGGGTTCTGTCTGGGAAGCAAAAACTGGATCATGTCCCAGTTCTTCTTAAAGCCCCCTGGTGGTTTCTCAGTGCCCTCAGGTGACAGGTGAGTCCGCTCCAGATGCTGAGCGCCCCTCTCTGCAGCCATGATGTTTGCCGGCCTGTGTCATCTTACTCCATGACTCAGCCACGCACTGCACCCCCAGCCTCCAAACCCTCCAACAGGCTGCTCCCTTCTCCCGGCACACCTGGCCACCTCCCCATCATGGAGCCCGGGTCCGCCCTCTCACACTGCCCCCGAGCAGGTGAGGGTCGGGAGGCGTGACGCTGGGCCGTGTTTCTACAGATTATACCTACTTCTACAAGGGCCGGGACTACTGGAAGTTTGACAACCAGAAGCTGAGCGTGGAGCCAGGCTACCCACGCAACATCCTGCGAGACTGGATGGGCTGCAACCAGAAGGAAGTGGAGCGGCGCAAGGAGCGACGGCTGCCTCAGGATGATGTGGACATCATGGTGACCATCAATGACATGCCAGGCTCTGTGAACGCTGTGGCCGTGGTCATCCCCTGCATCCTGTCGCTCTGCATCCTGGTGCTGGTCTACACCATCTTCCAGTTCAAGAATAAGGCAGGCCCTCAGCCTGTCACCTACTATAAACGGCCGGTCCAGGAGTGGGTGTAAGCAGCCCAGAGCCCTCTCCATCCACTCGGTCTGGCCGGCCAGACCCTTCCTCACCAGGGTCTGAGGGGCAGCTCTGGCTACTGCCCACCGGGGCCAGCAGGGCCCTTGGCCCAGGTCGTACAGCTGAAGTGGTGGGTGCACTGGCCCTGGTTGAGCATGGGCAGGGAGTAACAGGGGCTGTGCCCCAGGGTAGCTGTCTGGTGCCCAGCTGCCAGCCTTCTGTCCTGGGTGAACTGCTCTCTACTTGAGGGAACAGGCCAGGTCCCATCAGGAGGCAGGGCCCATGCCAGGAGGAGCCTCCATAGTCACTGCATCCTGTGGTGTCTAGGAGGCACCACGACTCCATGCCTGGCTGGCACTGAGCACCCCTGTGGGATGCCAGTACTAGCTCCCATCTCCCATCTGGGAGGTGCCACCAGTCCCAGTCCCCTTTTGCCAACACCTGCTGGTCAGATGTCCCCCGTCCCCACCCCACTGTTCCCCAAGGACCCTCCTGCTGACATAGTGGGCGACAGGTCCGGGTATCCCCTGCTGGTATACAGCAGGTCCTCAGGAAACCTGCTCCACTTGTCAGGGTCTCCTCTGAGACCCAGGATTTAGGGTCATAAGCTGCAGGCAGGGCTGTGGCCCTGCTGGGTCTGACAAGGACCCGGCTCTCACATCGTGAATCTTTAAATGTCCTGTCACACTGTTTAAAGTCCCATTCTGCAAAGGCTGCTTGAGACTTTAGGTGAACTAGAGGTGACTGGCTTGGTGATGGGACCAGCGTGGTGGCCCTCCCCCAGGCAGTAAGGACCAAGGTGCTGCTAGGGCCCCTCCAGCGCCCAGACACCCCCGTAGCTGGGCCCTGCTCACAAGACTACAGAGCTGGGGCAAAAGCTGACCCCACTTCTGGAGGCCAATCCAAGTCTGTGACCGCCCTCCACTCCCCCAGTTATCCTCGTCCCTCCCACATGCCCTGATCCCAGCCCTGCTCCAGCCTGTCTTCAGGGCTCGGGGCTCAGCCTGACTAGTGAGGTGAAGCAGAGAGGGCCACAGAGGCAACGCAGATGGGGCCTTGTGTCAGGGTCCGGGCACTCCTGAAGTGCTTGGCGCTCTCATCCCAGGCTGCCCTGAGGCCTACGCAATCTCTCAGCCTGGAGGCAGCTCACAGGGCCCGTTTTCCTGCTCTGCTGTTAGAAAAGAGCACTCCCGACTGGCAGCCGCCCCAAGCCAAAGGCCCCCTCCTCGACCTTCTCTGGACCACCACTGTCTGGCAGGAGTTCCTAGTGCTGTCCGCCTTACTCCTACCCAGTGGAGGCAGGCTGCTTGTCACTGAGGGGCTGGGCAAGACCCATGGGTTCAGCCACGCTTCCTGGCTCTCTGCCAAAGACAGACAGGTGTCAGGCAGTCTTCAGGGTGCTGGCAGGGCCTCAAATGCCACCCCGCCCTCTGAGCCCACACGGGCCTTGCCCCCGTCCCCTCCCCCAGCCTCTGGCCTTTGGGCCAGCTAACCCTGAAGCACGGACAGGGACTCCTGCTGCCCCGAGATCTAAGCAAAATCTCTTGTCCCAGAAGAGCCTGTGTGGGTCCACTGTGTCCCCTGTCATCCTCCTTGTTTTTTCTCATTTTGGCCAAGGGCAGGCTCCCTGGGGCAGGCAGGGAACAGCTGCAGAGATATTAGTGATTCATAGGTTTGTACAGTGTTTTATACTTTGCAAAGCACTTTATTAGCGCACACCTATCCACTCACACAAAACTCATGTATGCCCTGGGAGGCCAAGGGTAACTCATCGTGCCCTCAGCTGAAGCACAGAGAGGTTCTGCTACTTGCCCAGGCCATCCAGCGGACCATCTGTGGGCCCCTCTAGGGTCTAAGATGAGACGCGTCTCCTGTATCCATCTCTTCCTGGCCTCCCTCCCCCCACCCCCTACCTGATCCCCTCCACTCCTCAGGTTGGTGCTCTCCCGTCTTGAAAGCTCTAGGCACTCCCGCCTCCCGCCAGGTCCCCACTGGCTCCTGGTACCACCTAGGCCAGCGGAGAACGAGCAGGTGGAGGCAGGCCGTCCAGGCTGCAGAGGTGAGGGATGTGGGCCAGGCCCAGAGAGGGCTCAGCCTAGAGGCTTCCGGTCTCAGACTCTCCTGCCTATGGTCATCTGTTTGTCTGTCACCCCAGGACAGGGCAGATAGAGAGAGGGGCAAAGCACTGGGGACCCCAGAGCCCAGCTTCCCCTCAGCCTGGGGGACATCACAGCATTTCTGTGTCGGTCACATTTTAAACTGATCAGCCTTTGTATAATGTTTTTTAAATCATTTCTAAATAAAACAGAAATTCAGAGCGTGTCATTTCCCTGGGATGGGGGAACAAGGAGCAGGTTCTAAGAGTGACCTTAAAAAGTCTCTGGCAGAAGGAAAATAGGGTGTTTGGGGGTGTGTGGGAGCTGCCATAGGCACCTCACCCACCAGACCGGCAATCAGATAGCCTCTCTCTCCAAAGGCTGGCTCTGAAGGCCGTGCCACCGGGGTTCCGGGAACGCAGCCTGACGATACCTCCTTGGGGGCAGGGGAGCAGCCCCCCTCCAGAGGAGCATAGGGAGGGTCACTGTGGCAAGGGCTTCTGTGAAGTCAGGGTGCAGGGTGCCGTGATGTGGGACACAAGCAAAAGCTCAGCTCTCCGCGATAAGAGACAGGCCAAGTCAGGTCAGCCGATCTGGGGTCTGACCGGGAGGACTGGCCCGGTTCTGGAAGCCAGTGACAGTGCTGCCCCAAGACCCAGAGCGCTGGAGAAAGGGATGGGGTGAGCACGAAGGTCCGAACTGTGTTTGGGTGCAGATTTGGGATAAGGCTGCAGAGGTGGCCATGCCGGGCTTTCCAATTCCTGGAGACCTCTTCCAAGACGCGCGGGGGGGGGCGG